GACTTGGCCAAGTTATTTATTATACAAGACCTAAGCTAGTTAGAATAGGATATTTGTACTTATTGTATATAATTTCATAGTAGGTTTAGAACTCTCTTACTTAAACAAAAGGGGGAGGTGTTGTGGGAGGTCCTTCCGCCCCTCCAACCAATAGCTGCTGTGATACCAGCCCATTGGGGCGTGGTCTCTCTCCCTTTAAAAAAGCGGCTATTTCCTCTGCTCGGTCTCTTCACTTCCTGCTCCGCCGGAAACTAGACTCCCTTCCTGGTTGTACAGAGTGGAAAGCCTGAGGTGACATGGAAACCTACATTTTCCCAAAACAGTTTCTGATGAAGTCACAAGTCCTTAGGGAGCTGGCAGCATGGAAAGGCCCCAAACAGATGGCCCACTGCATTGCACCAAGACTCTGGCTAACAGAAGCTGGGAGATGTTCTGTGTGTTTGGCTTTATCTTACTCAGGTATCTAACCAGAAAACTATTACTATCAATGTATCCACCCAAATGTGCTGCAATCCACCTGTTTTTCTACCTTGTTCTTAACAGTGTCAATGCCCAATGCCTTGGTAAAATCCGGACGTGTTGTTTCCACTCTACAAGTTTAACTAATCTGGTCAGTGTAAGGAAATAAGATTAGGCCGCCTGTCTCCTTTTAATGGACTCATTGTGATAGCGACTTTCCTGAAAGCTCACAGATTATCTTCCTCTATTCCCCTCTTAAACTTTTCTCAGGCTTAAAAGTAGACCCAACTAAATATAGTGTGTTAAGTCTAACTTTTATACCCATTCTGAAAGTCAAGAGTATGATTACTTGACACCCATCTTTGGAGGCTTTAAAATTCTCTTGCGGTTAAGTTACCAAAGGGTCTTCTTTGTAAGCCTTAGATAACTGAGCACAGCATCCAGTAGTACTTTTGCATTAAAACCTATGATGGCAGTTATTGTTGGAAATCAGCCTGGATCCAAGTCATTGCTTCTACAGCATGGATGCCCGGATGACAGTAAAGTTCATTTTCTATGGTAGTGACACCTTTCCCATCTTCTGTGAACTCACCATTACTGTGACAATTGTAGGAACCAGCCATGATAAGCTAAATAGAAACAGACCACCCAAAGGAAGTTCTTTACTTCTAACTATTATCACCTGCTAGAGTAGAACTCGGCCATCGATAAGTTTAATAGAGGCCTGAGTCTCAGTAGTTTACCCTAAAGCAGGAAGGATCATTACCTGAGCACCACCCAAGAACAGACCATCCAAAGGAAATGCATAATGTTCCAAGTTCCAACCACTGTAGATAGGATCACCCGCCAGCACACACTCACCAGGACACCCTTAGACAAATGCCAGCCAATCAGGGGTCCTGGACCTCAGAAACCCCTCACCCCCACCTTTACTACTATAAAAACCCAGCTCTAACTGAGCTCTGGGCTCTCCGTTTATTCCAATACATTGGACATGTGGAGAGATGGAGTTTACAAACTTACATAAAACAAATACTCTTTGCTTTTACATATGGGACTGGGTCTTCTTGTTGGTTTTTGGGGGACTTCATGGATTTGGGCATAACAATAATCCACTGCCCTTCTACTGGTGAAATGTATAAATAGGAATACCTTAGTTATAGCCTGAAGACCTGGATGAATTAATTTTGTTTTCACAGGAGCTCAACATATACAGGCACTGAAATAGCTCAGATGTTGAGAAAATCCAAAACAACAAATCCTTAGTACAATAAACTAATTAATCACACATATATACACCACCCTTCCAGATATGGAGTTAGCTCTCCTCCTCCTGCTGACTTACACATCAAGAATGGAACATGGGAGAAGGAGGTGTTGTGTAACACAGGCTAGCTTCACCCTCTTAATGTGGACAAGAATGCCGACCTTCACTCCTGTTCCCCCTGTCTTTGCCTCTTTAGTGTTGGGATTACAGGCATCTGAATACTATTTTTTTTTTCTCAAGAAAGGGTCCTATTATGTAGCCCAGCCTGGTCTTGAACTAAGAATCCTGTTGGCTGAGCCTTCCAAGTACTGGGATTACAGATGATCACTACTGCTAAGCGTGTATGACTTCTGAGGTGAAGTTACAAAGTAGTTTTCATTTTCCTCTCTTCACTGGACCACTTCAGAGAAAGGCAGCTTCCCTATTGTGACAACACTAAGAAAATTCACTTGGTGATGAACTGAGTTTCCAGCTGAGGACCATGTATGACATGTAGATGTCCCACATCTACTAAGCATTCAAATGACTGTCGCCTCAGCCAACACCTTAAGTGCAAACACTCACACACACACACACACACACACACACACACACACACACACACACAAATAAAACAACCAGTCAGGACCAATCTACGAAGCTGCTTCTGAATTCTCAATCCATAAAACCTGTTACATATTATATATTTGTTTTAAATTGTCAAGTTTTAGAATAATTTGTTTTGCAGCAATAGATAACTGACACAAACCCAAATTTACACTTACCTTGTAGAATTGTAAAATTCTTGATGAGCTGACCATGCTTTGAGTCAACCAGCTTCATCTCTTCCATAATCACTGATAAGTTGGCCACTTCAGTGTCTAACCTTGACCTCATCATGTCTTGCTGTGTCCTGAGAGAAACAGAATCTAAACGGATATTGACCAGTGTGTTATTCAAGGAGGTCAGGTCATCAGTGTGTTTGGTTAAGGTATCTGTGCAAGTGGTCCTGACTTCATTCAGGTTGCTGGTCAGCGTCCGCAGGTGATGGGCTGTGTAGCTAATATTGCTAATGATATTCACAATATCTGTCTCAAAGACCTGAAAGCGTTCTTCTAGTTGGCTGAACTTGATGGTTGTCCTGTTCTCTGCATCCTTGTGTAAGTCCTGAAGGTCTTTCAGGTTCTGTTCATTGGTCTGTGAGATAGTGGTGATGTTGTCCATCTGACTTGTGAATGAGCTGAGCTGGCTATTCATCTCCTCCAGGGTGTCATTGTTGGCTTTGGCCAGGACAGAGTTGTTGGCAGCCAATGTCTGCATGCTCTGTACTTTCTCCTTTAGCCAATCGGTGTCCTTCTTGGCTTGAAGGAAAACTTGCTGCAAACTTTGGAAGTCATTCTTAATTCGCTGGATGGCTTGGCTTGTGTCGTCCACAGAGCGCTGCAGATTAGTGATAAGGTTCCTCTGCTGTACTTGGGTTAGGTTCAGGTTGTTGAGGTTCATGATAACCATGTTCTGAGAATACATTTGGTTCTGCAGATTGCCCTGGAGCATACTGGTATCTTGTTGCAGATTTGTGACATAGCCATTATATGCCTGGAGGGTTTTGTTGACAGTGGTGATGAGGAAAGAATTATTCTGCAGAGTTTCTTTCAGTTGACTCTGCCTGTCCTCCAATGAATCACCACTTGCCTGTAACTTCTCCAGTGTATCTTTGTTCTTGCTTGTTTTTTCTGTGATCTCCTGAAGCTGTTGACGCAGATCCAGAATATCTGATCTGAAGGTAGAAAGTTCTGAGTTGGTGCTTATAGCTTTCTTCCCAGTTTGGTCCCCTGGAATAAGAGATGTTTGTTACTTAGACTGGTGGTAGAGAGATGTTTAGGTGAGGCCAAAGACCCAGATATCAGCCAAAGAGATGGCTCAATGGATAATGGTGTTTACTGGCAGATCTGACAACCTGAATTAGTTCCCTGAGCCTACATAGTGGAGGAACAGAGCAGATGCCAATAAGTCATCGGTTCTCTGACCACTACATGCATGTTGTGACATGTATATGCCTCCCACCAAACAAACAAAAATAAAAATAATCTTTCAAAAGGATCCCATATACTTAAATGGTAGTACTGTCTTTTAGATGTAAAATCTGTGGTACATGCAGGTTAGGGTGTATATTACTGAGAATCTACTTAAAATGGGGCTTTAGAATCAGCAAAGGAGTTCAACATAGGACTTACAAACTTGGGTGGACACTTTTTTCAAAGACAGAGGGCGATTTACCAGATTCTAGGATAGCAGGCAGGGTGTACTTATAAGAAAACAATCTTACAAATTTACCAAAATTCTTTATACTCAGTGACAATTTTCAAAAGCAGAATCATATTCATAGAATCTTAAACACCATTTAAACCAAAATTCATTTTTTTTCATTTTTTTAATAAGTGAAAATAAACATCAAGAGACCAAACAGGCTATGATGTGGGAGTCTTCTGTTTTGAGTTGATTTCATTGGTTAATTAATAAAGAAACTGCTTGGCCTGATAGGAGTAAACAGAACAGAATGCTGGGAAGAGAGGAAGTTAGGCAGACGCCATGCCTCTCCTCTCCAGGGCAGAAGCAATGAAGCAAGCCGCCAGGTCAGACATGCTGAATCTTTCCCGGTAAGACTGGTGCTACACAGATTACTAAATATGGGTTAGGCAAGATGTGAGAATTAGCCATTAAGAGGCTAGAACTAATGGGCCAAGCAGTGTTTAAAAGAATACAGTTTCTGTGTAATTATTTTGGGGCATAAGCTAGCCAGGCGGCCGGGAGCCCGCAGCTCCCTTCAACAAGGCTAGAATCTTTTACATTAAAAGTTACGAGGCTGGAGAGATGGCTTAGCAATTAAGAGCACTGGCTGATCATCCAGAGGACAGGGTTCAATTCCCAGCACCCACATGGTATCTTACAACTGTCTGTAACTCCAGTTCCAGGAGATCTGATACCTTCACACCAGCACACATAAATAAAAAGCTTTAAAAAAGTTAAGTCTGTGGGCATAGTTTAATCCCAGCATTCTGGAGGTAGAGGCAGGAGGATCTCTGAGTTTGAGGCCTACCTGATCTACACAGAGAATTAATTCCCAACAATGTGCCTATACAGTTTAAAATAATTCAAATTAGTATTTTCTGAGCAGTTGACCAGAGAACCTCTGGTAGATGCTACTTAACGGCTCTTTTCCATCAGGATTGGATGTAGATTTTATATGATGCATGAGATTTTCAAGGTGGGAGTCCTTACCTTTAAAAATGGAAATATTCAGCCAGGCAGTAGTGGCGCACACCTTTAATCCCAGCACTCGGAAGGCAGAGGCAGGCAAATCTCTGTGAGTTTGAGGCCAGCCTGGTCTACAAGAGCTAGCTCCAGGACAGGCTCCAAAGCTACAGAGAAACCCTGTCTTGAAAAATCAAAACCAACCCCCCTCATGAAAATATTAGAATTAAATGGCAAGTATGGACACAGCATGCAGCAATAAAAACCCTAAACGCATTACCATTCTGAAAAATTGTTATCACTCATACAGATGACATACAGTGGAGCCCTCCTTTCAATGGCTCTCTCTTGCTGTAGTTTACCTAATTTTTTCAGGTCACTTTCCACTGCAGTGAGCTTGTCATTGTAAGTCTGGCGAGATGTCTCCATGCCACCTGTGACATTGTCCATTTTCTCTACAACTGAGATTTGGGAAGAGAAGAGATTAGTTGACTTATCTGCTCACGCTTGTTTTTCAACTCTAAGATGAGTTAATGTCATTACAGAAGAAAGCTGAGATCAAATACGGAGGAGACTGTGTGGTAGTGTGAATGTAACTGGTCCCCCATAAGCTCATGGGGAGTGGCACTTCTAGGAGGTGTGGCTTTGTTGGAGTAGGTGTGGCCTTATTGGAGAAGTGTGTCACTGTGCAGGTGGGCTTGAGGTCTCCTATGCTTAAGCCATGCCCAGTGTTTCAGTTCACTTCTTGGTTGCCTGTGGATCAAGATGTATTAAGTCTCGGGTCCTTGTCCAGCACCATGTCTACTTGCATGCCACGATGTCCATCCATGGTAATAATGAACTGAACCTCTGAAACTGTAAGCCACCCCAATGAAATGTTTTCCTTATAAGAGTTGCCATGGTCATGGTGTTTTTTCACAGCAATAGATACTCTAAGACAGGCTGTTCTTTAGATAAATAACTAGCAAAAAGCCAAGTGATATAACTTATGGCGTACAGACCGTATATCTGTAACCTTTTTTTTTTAAGCTGTAGAAAGGGTTTGGATTAATTTCTAAGTTTTTTATGTGCTGGAGTACTCTGTTATACACTGAATCCCCTACTGTAACGCGTTTGTTATTTTCTACATGTGAAGACATATAGCACTATAATTATTCAAAAAATTATATGACTTCTAAGCCTCCCTAATGTTCCTTGTGTGTGGGAACTCCACTGGCAAAGGACTGGCTTAGCTGGGTGTGCTGGCACATTGGAGCTCTTCTTCCATCTACAGTATTCACCCATTTTCTTCTTTGTTTTATTTTGTTTTTTAACTGAGTGTCTTTTTAAAACTTAGTCTTGCTAGCTATTTGGGGAACCTCAGCTGAGCAGCACCTTGTAGAATTCTCTAGGACAGTAGCCCATTCCTTATTTCAGGACACATACACTGTTTACTATGATCTTTGACAGGTCTTTATTATGACAGAATTATGTCTGACAAACCCACTGTAAGTTGAAGATATTCAAAACATTCTAGTTGAGTGACCCAGCATGGCAAAGTGTCAGTCATTCAGCCTCATGCTCACAGGTGGCAGAGCTGTGGCTTCAGCTACTATCCAGCGTAATACCCATCACTAGTCTGGAAAAAAATTTCAAAGTAGAGTTTTTCTATTGAGTGTCTATTACCTCACATGATTATAAAGTTGACAAACTATGGTAAGTTAAGGACCATCTGCAGCTATATCCAGTACTTAGTTTAGCATGTAGTACTTAATTAATAGTTATTGTGCCATTTATTTAAATAAGTGAGAATTTGCTAAGGTCTAGGAAATCTAGCTGAGCTAGACTGTAGAGGCCAACATACAAATCAATTAACCCGGGAGCCCCCAGTATGACATTTTATTGAATTATTATTGTTAAAACTGCCACACAGGAGCTGGAGAGATGACTCAGGGCTTACAATTGAGTACTCCTGCAGAGAACCAGAATTCAGATCCCAGCACCCATGTTAAGTGGCTCAAACTGCCTGTTCTAACTTCGGCTCCAGGAGATCTGACACCCTCTTGTGGTCTCCAAGAGAACTGCACAAATGTGCACATATCCAGCCATATAATTTAAAAACAAAAAACAAACTACTATGTGGACACAGAGGTCCAATTCTATCTTTAGTTTGGGATTGTGTGATAGGCATACATGCTACTGAATCCCCCCAAATCTTGTAGAACAAAATACATTTTATCAAAGCTAAATTTTAAAAAAAATGTAGTAACTGAGCTTAGACTCAGTTCTGACTGTCAGATAAAAACATATGCCTCATTCTGTCCTCAAACCACACAGGATCTCAAGCCCTGCCTCCTTCCTGGAAGCCAAAGAAATCTGAAATATGCGGACAGGCGGTCATTTCCAGCCCGAATTTCCCTTCATTTTAGTTTATAAAAACACAGAACTATTGGGGACAGATAATTCAAGTGTACTTAGGATAAAGGGAATAATACTTTAACGAAGGAGGAGGAGAAAGAAACTGTTAGTTTGTTTTCAATAAGGAAAGGGAATGATGTGTGCTGCCCACAAGTGTTCGAGAACTAGCCCCGTGTGTGTGCGTGCGTGTGCGTGTGTGTGTGTGTGTGTGTGTGTGTCTGCGTCTAAAAATAGCACCCTGGTATAAAGCAGCAAGTTGTAAGACTGCAAGGCTGGCAAAACGTGTTCACAGAAACTAGAGGCTGACAGGGACTCAGAGACAGCACTACACTAGCACACACCATCTCTTCAGGTTTCTCCTAATTTATAGCACAAATTTTCAACCAGAAGCATAATGGCTGAGCTTCCGGTCTCATTCTAGAAATTCCAAGTCTACACAGATCATTGTACAATGAAAACGAGGCAGCACAGAAGGGCCATCAACATTCCGGGCGTTCATGGGGCCCCTCATCCTTTTTCAGATAACACCACTCTGCAAGTGCTCACACCCCAGAAACACTCACTTCCTGAGGTCTACCACAGCACACTAAGCTTTGCCTCTTACTTGAGTCTAAGACAGTAACAACAGCCTCTCAGTTTTTATGGTATGAGTAAGAAACTTCTAGTTGTGTATGTGTACTGTACCGTCACTGCAGTCAGTTCCTCCTCCCTCCTGTTTTACAGATTAGAAAATTGAATTGTAGAGATATTCGAGAATAACCCAGAATCACGCAGCTTGTAAGAGAAGAAATGAGACTTCAGAGGATAGGAGATGGAACTCTAAAATCCGTGTCTTCTTCAACTCCACACAGATTTTTTTTTTTTAATATTTCTTCCTTTAGTCTGATTTCCTCTAATTAAGGAAAATCCATAAAGGAAAGCAATCTTCATTCTATTTTTAATTATCACAACAGATGTTTATTATGCATCTGTCATAATATAAATATTAAAGATAAAGAGACAGGCCTTGGCCTCTCCTGGAGGGCGGGCTCCCACCTGTTGTTGAAAAATGCAGGAACAGAAATCAACATCAACAGTTCCTAGGAATTCTAGGATCAGCAACTACACAGCCTTGGAACCTATCAAAGACATTTCTACCATTAACACTACCTCAGGATTTATGACTGAGCAACACAAAGTCAGGAGGGCAGCACCCCAAGTTCTAAGGGGCTCTACAGTGTGGTTTGAGGTATTACCACACCCCTAGTTGTCCTCACAATGCTGGCAAACTTTAGCAGTCATGTATCAGACAAACCAAGGTCCAGAACCCCGAGGGACTGGAGACTTTCTGACTCAGATTTGTGCCTTTTGTCATTCTAAGCATCTTAAGAGCCTGCTGGGCAGAGCAATGGGATAGTATTTCATGAGAAGGGAATGTTCTGGAAGGAACATGACTAACTGAAGAATTTAAGAGATGATTTAATCCCAGCATTTGGGAGACAGAGACAGGCAGACTTCTGTGAGTTCGAGGTCAGTCTGGTCTACAGAGTGTGTTCTAAGAGCTGCTACACAGAGAAACCCTGTCTTGAAAAACCATAGTGAGAGGGGGTTGGGGAGGATGCCTTTCATGTAAGCTTATGATTAATGATATAGAGTCTAGGGTAAAGGATGTACCAAGTTGCAACTGTTCAAAAACATGTTTCCGCAACATAACCAACATGTTTCACGTCTGAGTGACTAAGCCATCCTCCAGTTTGCTCAGCAAATTCTCTAGCTGAGTCTTCAAAAGATTCTAACATGTAGCTATGAAAATAACATAAAAAGAGAACCGAAGAACAATTTTGAGGAAAACAGTGTAAACACAGCCTTTGCCAGTCCTGCTAAGAGAGTTTCGTTTCCTTTCATGTGTCCGGAAACACTCCTGGACTACTTTTACTGCATATTTCTTCCTTTATTGAATGGAGAAGTGCTTTACTAGACACCAAAGAGGGGTCTGTGAGGAGAGAACTGGGGTTTATCTTTCTGCCTCCTACAACATTGTGTTCTTCAGAATCTTATCAGCAAGAAAGAGGAGTCAGACACATGAAGAGAAAGTACATCTGGAAAATGTTAACTTTGAGTTCTTTAAGGCTGGCTTTGGTGACTAGAAGTGTATATTGTATCATCTTCTTTAGTCAGCAGAAGCCAAAGGAATGGAGGCACTGAAGGAGGGAAAAGAGTGGCAATGTCACTTTACTCCCCAGATCTCTTCTCCCTTCACCCTGGAATGCTAGGTTTCTGGGTAGTGCTCTGAGGAACAACAATCCCCTACAAAGAGACTGGCTCAGAGGTTCCTTGGCGTCTGTTCTTTACCTTCAGAGAAGCCAGTTCCTAACCATCATCTGACCATTCATCCAGCTACCCACTCATGTAGCTAACTTTCCTGGGTGTCTAATAAAGAAGCCCTGAGTTTTAGGTACTAGTGAGAGATTTCATAAATAAAAGGCAGCTTTAGTAGAATCCTGTAGTTGGTGTTAACCCACATAAGCCAGACAGACTAGCCATAATGATATGATTTAATGGAACCTAAAGTGGAGAAAGTTCATTGTGGGAACAAACACTGTGGGAGGCTCCACTCAGGGGCTTTTGGTGAGACATGTATCAGAGACATAAGCAGCAAAGTAGTCATTTAGGTACAACACAGTCCTGGGACCACAGATCAGTGATCAAGCGCATGGATATGCTGGAGCTATTCCAATGTGGTACGGAGATGGAGTGAGACGACAGTTGGACTCTTGGCTTTCTGTGTAATTCCAAAGCCATAAATCTTATCCTTTCCAGCAGAGGTAAAATTCACAAAGTGTACCCACGAACCCCCTCTGCTCTCACTTCTAGCAGTGAATTTTAATTCCCATGCTATCAGTCTGTACTGAGCCCTGACATTCCTTAGTGAATGACTGTTTTTGATCATCTTCAGCACAGTAGGAAAAGTCATGGTCCAGGAAAAAAGGGGGCAGTTTGAATGACTGGGACATAAAACACACCGTTAGGTTCTGACCCTGCTCCTCTGTCCAGCCGTCATGATTCAGCAGTCTTTTTAAACCGCAGCCTCTGTTCCTTCATGATGAAATAAATTCATCATAAATGGATAAAGTGACCAGGCAAATTCCTAAATTCTCATCGCCCCAACTCATCAATCAATATACTCTGTATGATAACTTTTGTTTTCCATAGAGATGAATAAAAATACAGTAAGCAATCAAGGAAAAGTGAGTAGGGAGACACTGTAGCTTGGGTCCAAACTGACATCTTTGCTCATCCCAACTAATCTGAAGAATGGCATGGTGGTTACTGCCTTACAAAATCAACCTCCAGAAGTGATGGTTTACATCTGGGCTATAGCACTAAAGGGGATGAGACTAACACAACACCTAGTGGCAGACACTTACTGGGCATTCATAATTGTATTAAAAAATAGGTATGATCATGATAACTTGGACTGATTCCTAAGTCAATTCTAATTCAGAAGCACTGAATTCAACCGGGCCCTCTCAGAAGCCACAGTGAGGGTGCTGGGGGATTTACAGTGGAAGGGAACTCGCTCCCTGATTTTATCTTTCCTAAACTGGCACCACAAGTTAAGGACAAGGACAGTTGGTGCAGTAATTCTTCTGGGTTAATCTGTCAGTTCTGAGGTCTGTCAACAGTTGAGGAGACCGTTAAGACAATGGTTGTAAGGTGTGACCCTCACTTGCTTCTGTGCTACAATCAGATACCATGTCTGTCTCATGTTATTGTGACAGGCCAGGCTTCTATGTTTGCCTTCCATACAAGGGTTTATGCAGTTTGTGTTTCTTAGTTATGACTCCTTCTACCCATGATCTCAGAAAGGATCACGGCAGCAGCGGTGTGTGGTATGTGGGTGTGTTGGGACCTAGTTTAGTAGGTCTGGAAGATTTGGAGGAAAATCTCCTCTACCTTAATCAGACATAGTAGGCCTAACAGTTTATTAAGTTGCTTATAAGTTTAATTTCTATGGGGGTAATTGTTTTGTTTTCTTTACTGAAGTAAACATGCTTTAGAGAAGAAAAAAAGTGCATCAGTTGGTCAATCCCTGGGGGATGAGTCAAGTCCCTGTATAGCCTGTGTGTTGCTTATTCTCCTCTGTCAGCAGCACTTTCCCGGGCTTCTTAGAGACAAAGAAGATGAAAAAGAAGAAAGAAGAAAGAAGAAAGAAGGAAGAAGGAAGAAGAAGAAGAAGAAGAAGAAGAAGAAGAAGAAGAAGAAGAAGAAGAAGAAGAAGAAGGAAAAGGAAATTGCTGGAAAAAAGCAACATGGAAAAAAGAAAAAAATCTTCCTAACCTAGAAAGGGCTGTCATGATTATGAAGTGAATCAAAACTGTCCCATCCATAGCTAATATCTCAGGACACAAAAATGGAATTCATCATGTTAGTGAGTTTTACACAGGAGTATCATAAATATAATTCAACAGTCCTTCCCAGGTTTTAGGTCCTTGGATTTAACCAACCTCACAATGGAAATACTTGGGGAAAATGTATTTGTATTGAACATATACAAATTATTTTTGGCATTATTCTCTATGTAATGAGGTGTAGCAACCATCCACATAGCATTTATATTATATTGGGTATTATAAGTCATCTAGCAGTGACATAAAATATATGGGAGAATGTATACATACTAACAATGGAAGCCCTGAACTAAAGGGAAGACAGCATTAAAAGATTTTGAGATCCTTTGAGGGGACAAATGACCTAAAATTAACTCTCCATGGATACGAGGGCCAGCTGTACTTCTTACTTCCAAAGGTGATGTTTTTAGCATTTAAATTTCAAATCCCTTTGCTATTTGGAAAGGAAACAGAAAGAGTGCATACTTACCTTTATATCCCAAAATGGCTACTGTGATGGTTAGCAAGGCACACAAAATGTATAATAATATGATTGAAAACTTCAGTGCCCAGTTATTTTTACATTTGGTACACTGTGTTCCTTCTTGAATACCTGTAAGACAAGTCAGATAAAAAAACATCATTTCAAACAGTATCTTCGCTAAAGCACATCTTAGTTACTATTCCTGATGCTGCAAGTGTGAGCCCTGACAAAAAGAAAGCTAGAGAAGAAAAGGTCTCTTCTGACTGGCAGCTCCGGGCTACAGTCCATGGCAAGACAGCCAGCCCCAGAGGTTGTCCCACTGCGCCCAGTCAGCTCATTTTCTCCTCTTCTCACACTCCAGGACTTTCAGGATGGATATTCCCATTCAATGAACGTAATCAACATAATCCCCCTATGTGGGGCTAAAAGACCTCTCACTAGATATTCCAGGAAGCTTGTCTCTGAGATGACTCCAGATTCTGTCAACTTGACAACACTAGCCAGGACAATGAGTTTGGATTTAAATAACATAAATAAGAAGAGTTTATCACATGCCTTCCTATACCATGAACATATTTTCAAATTAAACAAACTCTCCACTGCAGCAATACAAGCCCATCCAATATTATATCATATTGTCATAGTTACACCCAATACGATTTTAAAATAACACACAACTTCAAATCACACTCCACTATGATAATCAACCAGTTTTTCTTTTTATTTATTCTTTTTTTATATAATAGATTCCAACTACAGCCTCCACTTCCTCCAATCCTCCTAGCTCGCCCCCCCCCCCCATGCTCCCAACTGGATCCACTGCTCCTCCATTTCCCTTCAGAAAATAGCAGCCTCCCAGAGATAGCAACTGAACATAGTCTAACAAGTTACAATAAGACTAGACTAGACAAACCCTCATATTAAGGCTGGATGAGGCAACTCAGCAGTAGGAAAAGAGTCCCAAGAACAGGTAAAAGAGTCAGAGGTACCCCTACTCCCACAAACACTCAAGCTAAACAATTACAGCATGCACACAGAGGTCCTGGTGCAGACACAGAGAGACTCAGACTCTGTGAGCCCCTAAGAGCCTTGCTTAGTTGATTCTGTGGGTCATGTTCTCCTGGTATCCTTGACCCCTCTAGCTCCTACAATCCTTCCTCTCCCTCTTCTGCGGGGTGCCCCAAGTTCCGCCTTATGTTTGGGTGTGGGTCTCTGCATCTGCTTCCATCAGCTGCAGGGAGAAACCTCTCTGATGATGGATAATCAACTATTTTAAAAATTACATTTGTTTACTTACTTGTATTTGTGTCTCAGTGCTGTCTCATGTCTACTGCTGCCCTAGCGACTGGATCCCCAACTTAACTAAGTACTACTATACAAACTACTCAGGTGGTTAAACTAAAAATCTCCACAGTGTGCCTCTACTAATTCTTCAATATATGAGTCCCTGCTGATCTTCCTGTAGGGTATTTTCACTACCATCTTTATTTATCACCTAGCTTCCCGATGTTCACTGGCTTCCAACACAGTACAAAATTCTGAGCTGAGTCCTTTATGGGTAGGTAGCATCTGGAATCCATAGAACAAGCTACAAGGAGGTACAGTAGTGACAGTGTATGTGCCATCTGACACATACCACAGCCAGGATTCTGACTTGAGTTGGCCTCTGCAAGGTACCATCTCTGCACTACACCATGATCTCTGCTCTGCTCATTCTTTCCATTTTCACTGCTACTGTCTTAGTGTGAGATCTTTACCCTCCATTCCCACTGGAATCCAGCCTCACCCTCTACTAAAATATTGCTGTCTGCATATATTTGCCAAGAAGGAAAAGACAAAAACAATTTTAATGCCCTACCCTTAACTAAAAGATGAACAAACAAATGAAGACAAACATATACAAATTCCAGCACAAAGTCTCTATGATCTGATGGTTTAAGATAAAATTGGGCTATTGCGATGGCTCAGCAAGTAAAGGCACCTGCAGATGGACCTGATTTTGACCCAGGGACCACATGGCAGGAGATCCTACTGTGACTATTACAGCAGTCCTCTGACCTCCACCTGTGCATATGCATGTGTGCATGAACACACACATGTACACATGCACACAAGTACACACACACATACACACAAATAAACTGAAATTACTTAAAATAAAACAAAGCCTCTTGCATTCAGAAAATGTGAAAGTACTATTAAAATCAGGAGAGAAAGAATTATAAGTAGATCTCCAAGCATGTCCCATTCCATGTTGAGGAAGAAACATTGCTTTGGTGGCAACTGTAACACCAAATGTTACAGGGGATCTCTGAAAAAAGACTGGATGCAACTGAGCTGCTAGGGGTGCTATTGAGTTTGGGGGCTTGAGGTGTCTAAGGCTCTTCACACTTCTCCAGAACCTTAGAAGAACCTTGGGAGATTTGGTCGGGGAGAGTGTGATGGACAGTGGAATCTGGGAGCTTAAGGGGAGCACAGAGGTCATTTGGCCAAGTGTCACTTTGTTATTGATAGGGAAACAAAGGCCAGCAAGGTGAAGCAAGATCAGAAGATGCATGCCCACCCAGACACTACCACAGGCACCTGTCCCTCCTGTCCTTCTCTGTCTGTATGCATTCTGTAGCACTGTGTTGTCACTGGGCATCTTTGCATGTGGGATACATGAAGATCTGCTCCAAGACAGCTGCCACAGGTCCACATTCCAAAGAGCAGGGGCACTTCCTGGCAGTGTGCACTTCTCATTGCTGACTATCAGCGTTAATCAACAGCAGATGGCACTGCCTGGCCTTTCCACTCGACACATTCTCTAGCTTGTTTTTTCTCTCCCTCAGGTGTCTTATTTTTAATAAGAATTCTGCTTTATCTTTCCTTCTTTGCCCTTCCCTGGGATGACATCTGGCTAAACATATAGATGCCTACTACAAAGAGGCCCTGCTGGCTCCTGGAGCTAGGGGACCCCCTTCCTCCTTGAACCTAGATAACCACAAAAAAACCTAAACATTTGAGAGAGATATCCCCCTGTTAACAGCCTTTGTAGTGTTTGTTTACTTAGCATTACTTTCAAGAGACTAGGGACTTTGTTCCCATGGGAGCTGGGAGAAGCGCAAGAAGAGCAAGGGGAATCAATCTACAGAATGCTGTGCATCAGAGATTTCAGTTCAGAAAGTGGAGCAAAGTTGGCCTGTAACACTAAGAAATCTAACTTCTTGAAAAACCTGGCTCAAACAGCACATTTATGATGCAGTTGCCCACAGGCAAAGGCCCTTCAGGGTCCATGCTTTCCCATTGGCTAGCTTCTTGAACTACCACCCACTGTAGTCCATTATTGGCTCATGATTTAAATGCATTTTGCTGTGTTCAAGTTTTTATTATTCAAAAACCTTTGAGGCCCCATGAAGCCAGAATCAGTCTGGTAAACTTGAATAGCCTACCAAAGTTAAGAATAGACTGACCACACTCAAAAGTTCTCTCTGTTGCCCTGTTTCCCATAACACATATTTCAAGTAAGAATTGGATGGGCTGGGGGTGGTTAGCTGGTTGTAGGAATAACTGACATGCCCCAAGAAAGCCAGTACAAAGGGCCAGAGGAATTCATCAGTAAAGAGAATTCCTTTTGGCTGTGGTTCTCCATAAAGAGCCCTCCCACGTTTTGTGGTCCAGGCTCCAAACCAATCTGTTTTTCCAAACTTTTTTGGAAGTGTGTGTGTGGGGGATGCCCATTCCCTTTACTATTGTGTTTGATTGTCATGTATATCACCAAATATAGGCTTGTCCATTAAGAGGGACACACACTGATTGAGCATCTTCCACAGTAGGTGCGTGTTGGCACCATGGGTGTAGTGGATCATTCTGGGCCATCTTAAACACCTCAAGTGTCTATTGCTGGGCAGTGTTATCATTAAGACCATGTGCATCACATAGCTGGTAGATTGCAAAATCTCAAAGACATCAGTTTTGATCTGAGATTTGAAGTGACCCTTTCACATGGTTTCTGTGGCATATATTCCCATAAGCCCAGGAGAATGACTTGGCTCTAACAGTAAAATTTATGAGTCAAATAAATACCTATACATACTTATAATTGTCCTCCATAGCAACAAAACAAAGTTAACATTCTGGCTAGCTACTGCTATGAAATCACAAAAGGTTACATACCCTATGCTTTCATCCCATAAATAATTAGCTTGCCCTTATTACACAAGCCATTTAGTATGTGGTACAATATGGATTTTGTTAGTATAATTCTTTTTATTACTAAGTGATTTATTTTAATAAATATGAATTCTAGTGCTGGACACCTTAGCATGCCAAGATTCCTAAGTGACATGAGGAATCACAAAAATGGGACAAGAATTTGTAGTGCAGTTACTTTCTGTATAAACAAGTTCTCAGCAATTCTATTCATGAAAGTATAACTAGATAGGAACAAAGAAAGATTTAGAAAATAGTTTTATGAGTAAACCATTTCACATTCATTGTGAATTTACTGTAATAGTCTATGCATTTACCAATAATATAGTTTTTATTTTTTCATATATACATAAAAGAAGGACAGTGGTTCTAGTTTGGATTTAATTTTTTTATTTTTTTAAATAATCTTTTATCATTTTACATACCAATCCCAGTTCCCTCTCCCTTTCCTTCTCCCACTCCCTCCACCTCCCACCTATCCCATTCCTCATCCACTCCTCAGAGAGGGTGATACTTCCCATGGGGAGTCAACAAAGTCTGGCACATCACTTTGAGGCAAGATTAAGGCCCTCTTACATGTATATATATATATATTGAGCAAGGTATGCCTCCAAAGAAAATGGACTCCAAAAAGCCAGTTCAAGCACCAGAGATAAATCCTGGTCCCATAGCCAGTTGGCTCCATAGACTGCCCCCAGCCATATAACTGTCACCCACATTCAGAGGGCCTAATTTGATCCTAAGCAGATTTCCCCACTATCAGTACAGAGTCATTGAGCTACAAGGAGCTCAGGTCAGCTGTTTCTGTGAGTATCCCTATCATGGTCTTGACCCCTTTGCTCATATTATTGCTCTTCCCTCTCTTTAACTGGACTCTGGGAGTTTGGTCCAGTTCTAGCTGTGGATCTCTGCATCTGCTTCTATCAGTTGCTGGATGA